ACTCAAGGGGAGGCTTGGAGGAATTCTCAGACTCGTTGGAAAATAAGTTCTTGGGCTGTATATGCACTGCATTGTTTATATTTAGAAAAGTACTTTTAAATGTGGGGTTTGGGGACTCTGTGGGGTCCTGCAAGGGATTGTAGGGGGTCTTTATTGTTTCCTAGCCATTGCAATTAAAATACAGAATAATGACAGTTCAGCTTATATGTGTGCCCTTAAAGTGCACATAAGAGTTAGCCCTGATTTATGTCTCTTGTATTACCATTACATTCAAATCACAAAGCTCAGCATCTGTTTTCCTGAAAAATTAACCCGCAGACCTTTGAAAAACCCATATGGTTGTTAAACAACACTTACTTCTGTTTTGAAGGTATTTTCAGAATCCTCAATGCTCTTTTAACCACCTGGAAGAAAATATATTCTGTTTGCTGCACATTAAAAGAACATTTTTAAAGTTGTGACTCAATTTCTTCATCTTTTCTTAAAAAAAGTATTTAAAGATGGAAATAAGTATGACCCTGCTGTCCCTGCTAACTGTACAACATGAACCGAGTTTTATTAACAATTACATATGAAGTTCTGTTGGGGATATTCTATCTTTGTAGTTGATCTTGTCAGGATTACATATGGTACACTGCAGAGATACAGCTTGTCTATCTTTATGTAGTGTTTGTAGGTGCGTAGTCGTATGTATGTGTGTAGATAGGTGTAGGCGTGTGTTTCTCACAGCGTGGCAAAACTAAATTATCTGCAGACGTGTGTGTTCCTCCCTGAGAAATTGTGTACTACAAGACGAGAAAAGGGCGGGCGGAGGCAGGGGACAGAGACAAACCACAAACAGAGAGAGAGAGAGAGAGAGAGAGAGAGAGAAAAGGTGGATGGATTATAATTGCGGCAGGAGTCGATTGTTCCAGCATGGCAGACAAGTGCCACACTCTTAGACAGAGGCTAAGTAGGACCAAGTTGGCCCACAGTCAGATTTGGGGAGCCGGGGTGCTTAATCATCCCGGGCTTGGTGCAAGAGTTGACAGGTGAGTTATGAGCGGGTGCTACAGGTAGGAGGCCCAGTCTTCCCACTGCTCACTATGACCTTCGCTCTGGCCATAAATAATGCAGGCGCCGTAAAATACTGATTTAGGATAACTGGGCCGGCCCTATCTCAGTCTAGGTTCATCTTGGCTTGGTGGACAGGGAAGGTAGTACAAGACTACGGGGACTGATGTAGTGCTCATCTGTGTAAGTTTCCACCTGTGTCCAGAGACCAATGTCAGTCTCTAGCTCAGTATCAAGAGCACTTTTCTGACCTCCAATTTTTGGAGTTTGTCCTGCTCTCAGCCACTATTTGATGTTGACGAGACTTTTTTTCTGCCTGTCTAGAGCCATTGTTGTATCTGTCTCTAAAAGGATGTGGCGCATCCAATCATGCCAGGCTGCATTAACTGCTGCGTATGTGCTCTCTCAGGAAAGAGCTTGACCGATTTTACATCTGCCCTCTACATCCTGACGTAGGCTTGGTTGACATTCAAATCCGATCTCAGGTACATGCTGACGCAAGTGGCAACAAGATAGATAGTACAAGTGATGTCACTCGAATACTTGGGCCCCTGTTGTTGTGATTTCCTTTAGTGCCTCCCTTTGGCTTTTGCTACAGACTGGTACAAAGTGACACCTGATGGAAAAGAATGGAAACAATGGGATTTGAAAGGCAGTTCGAGTCAGTTAGGGCTTCTTATTTTAGTTAATGCTCAATTTAAGCTTTTGAAACATTTTGAATTTGCTTAGCTACAATGCTGTATACTGTAGGCACACACACACACGTATACACATTCAGTGTGCTGCTGAGGGACAGGGTAATGATTGGGCAGATGTTAGCAACATCTCTCAGCCTGATGCCCTGATTGCAGTAGGAATATTTCAATGACGTTTTATAAGAGCTGCAGTGATTGAGGATGTGCCTAGTTGGATGTAGACACCATTTAACCTTCTTTTGGATGCCGATGAGAAAGTTGGGATGTTGCCTTATTAACAACGACACTCTTCTGAAAATAGGCACTACATTTTACAGTAGATTCCCAGCTATTGCATGTCTCTTGTACACATTACATTCAAAAGTTGTTGTAAGTTTTGGTAAGAGACAATGAGAACCAAAGTCATTTAGAATACTTACCAAATAACTTGTGTTACATGACATATGCAATAAGAGGAACCTCAGTCATCCATTTTGAAATGCTAATTATGTTAAGCATAGGTCAACATTCTATATTAAATCTGTAAAGGGTTAATATAAGTGGTGGCTTTACTTCTCTGCCCAGTAATGATATTATGCTGAGGTAACCTTCCATCAACCTCTGAACCTCTCGCCTTGTGATACATGCGTCACGCGCGACAATTCTCCAAGAACGTTATTGTTAGTTGAAAGTATGCTGTAATGAATAATCAGCAATTATTTCATCATCCGATTTCTATTAGAGAGGAGTTATTTTAATTAAGAGATTCATTAAGTTAGTTCATTAATTTCCCCCCAGGTGCCATGGATTCTCCAGAGAATTTCAAATCAATTCTGCTGCCTATTATTTAATATCAGAGAGAACAGTTGCCGAGTTAAAGGGCAAGTTCCATCTGGTTTCATCTGCTGGTGGGGTAGATTCATTGGCAGTCAATAAAATAAAACATAAAAAAAAACACGTATTAGATGGTGGATGGTTTTGGTTAGGAGAGATCCAGCTCTGAAAGTAGCAATGGCGACATACATAAATCTGTAAATTAACCACCAATTTTAAGCAATGCTGAATCCCATGAGCGTGTTGCAGTAAGTAGAAATGCTGTGTTTTTCCACAGTATGCCAGTCATAATCCTTTCAGGAGACCGCTTAACTCCTAACTGACCATTGCACATAATTTCACTGCATTTGCTGCGTATTGCAGCTCAAGTCCTCTGCCTGCCCTCCAGCTATATACAGTAGCTGTCAGCCTGGCTCTTCTCTCAGTTGATGTATGCAGGATGCTATCTATCATTGCCACGACATTGCATATCCCCTTCAGTTTGACACATTTGACAGACACTCTCGCCCATTAATGCCATGATATCACCTAGCTTGTTTTCACTGTATGTGCCGTACGGAAAGGGTTCCACGAGTGTTGAATGCTCAGTGCGTAGAATACGTTCGAGTCTCTGGAGCGTCGGATCATTTTCCTGCTTCATTCTTTGGATGGGCTTCATGAATATTACACTTGCTGAGTGAATAGTCAAAAGATCACCTGGCTCTTCAGACTCAAAAGGGACCGTGATGGATGTGAAATGTTGGAAAGACATCGTAGGACAATGTGTTGGCCTACACCATCGATCACTCATGCGGAGCAGATGACACAATTCTCTCTCTCTCTCCCTTCCAGCGGCCGAGTTTATCAGTGCTGCCCAGAATATTTAACAGGGAAGAGAGCGCACCGTGGGATCTCATTTGCACAGGTGTCCATCTGGTAGAAGTTGTCTGGGATAATCTCCACATCATGTTACATTTGCATCCGGGCTTCATGAAAATGGCACACTAACTGTAAGCGGAGTGTGCGGTGCTGGCCAGTTCGAAGGGCGGGGGATTGTTTGCCATCACTGTAGCGAAGACCAGTGTGTGTTGTGCTAATCCACGAGGCAGTTAATGCTGCGCAATTATGTAAGGATTTAACATGTTTGTAATTGTTTGTTGGTTCAGCTCAATTTGTGTAACCAGCTTTAGTTGGAAAATTAGCAATGAGATTTTCCTAAACACTGCCAATTTGTTTGGTCTTTTAACCAGGAGGGATTTGCTGCAGTCAAGCCAGAGTACTTGTCAATTATGACAGTCTTATTAGCCAGTTTGGGCAAGGAAAAGGTGCTTCTATTGAATTCATTGATCATCAAGGACCTTTGTTTCTTTTCCCCTCCTTCAAATAGCACAACTTTCACAGTGAATCAATAAACACATTGATTCCCATGTTCTGTTAAGAATTACTCAAGCAGCAGATCCAATCTCAAAATCACTGTCCCATTAATGACCCAAACAGGCTAGCTGTAAATGTTTAGCAGCTGTATATTTTCCTCCCTTCTAGTGATTGTGGAGCATTGCTCTCCTGGGCAGGAGTGGATCTGAAGGTTCTGCATATGCACATGAAAACGTTCAACCCACATTGGTCTAGTATTTACGAGACAAGCGTCAGTGGCAGCACAAATCCACCGAAGGTATACTGCGATAGCAAGCAGTAAAATGAAATGTTTATTCCACCGTGGATGAATATTCACCAGTATCTGAGAGCCCAGGCAAGCATGTAGTCTCCAAACATTACAAGTTATCTTGCATTTTACGCCCCTTCTCCTTTGCATTATAAATTCTCTTCTTTATGTGTATGACCTGAGCAGTTACAGTACATCAATTGTAGAAAGTAATTTTCTGCTAGCTCGAACTGTATCTGCTTAACACGTGAAAACAAAAGGCTCAATCAATCTTCAAGTGCTGTTGACATTCGGAGCTGTCGCTCCATATTACCGCCCATGTCCCTGCCCCATATACACACACGTGTATACCATATATGTATATATAACTGACTAAACACTCACACTTTCAGTTGTCCATTAATAGTTTTTTTGAGGTAGGCTCATCAGGAATTACTGGTATTCATATCTGAATTGATGAAAAAACATTGTATGAACCAGATTCAGAGTCATGATGATGGAGATGATGATTCAACATTCAGCATTAAAGGAAAGTTTTCTCCTAAAAGAATTTACAAGTTGTGAAAATGATTAATTGCTTTCCTCAGGAAGGTTTCTTTCGACTTATCTCCCTCTGCTGCATTTAGTGATTCACATGGAATCTAATGAATGAGCCTTGTGGAGATTTTGACTCTGAATTTATGTGAAGCCAGAGATGGACTGCTGGCAGCTTTTCTTTTGCTGCATCTGGCAAGACTTCAATATGATACAAACTCATTTATTTCTCCGACTGATTCATTAACTTTGTATTTTTGCAGGAACTCCACATACTGCATGAAGGTGTCCATGTCTCTCACAGTGGCGGAGAATGACACAGACCTCTGCTACAACTCCAAAATGAGGTTCTTTGAGAAGGCAGAACTAAGCAAAAGCAAAGAAATCACCTGCCCAGGCATTGAGGATTATATACAGCCGGGAGTTGATTCTGAGATTGTGTGGTACAAGGTAAGATACGCTATTTTTATTTGCTATTTGCACACTGATTACATTTTTTTTCCCTTTTTCTTTTTAATGGAGAGGTGCAAGATGTAGTCTAAAGAAAGAAACCCATCATGCACATTATTAGAAATAGGACCTTTCAATTAAAATTAAAAAGTTACATCACAGCAAGTCCTTTCATTTATTTGAATAACCTAGTTAAGGTCAGCTATATTCAGATCTAATTAGCTTTAAATATCATCTTCTCTCTGACTTGTGAAACTAAAAATAAATAATTAACCGACAAAAATAAACCTATTGGCTTTATACGTACACATCTTTCTGTTTTAAACTTTTTCTTCTTCCTTAAGGAGAGTTGCGACGCCCACAGTGTAACTGACCCAGTAAGACCTCCCGTGTCCGACAGGCCACTTTGACAAAGCTGTTAGATGAAGCTCGGGGGCCAATTCATCAAACGTGAATGTGTGCTGGATTAGGTGGCCACAGTGCTTCTTTGGTTTCCCACTGAATCAAATTAAAATAGCAGATAATGACTGTGGGCTCCACACCCTCCAGTTATTGGCTCTCGCTTTGTCAGTGGGGGCTGATTGAATTCTGGGAGGTCTTTCTTGGACCACAGTTCGGAACCAAACCCACAGTGCCCCAGTTTCATTTGCCTCAGGTGTTCTGTGGCCCAAAATCTGAAAGGCCTCGGCTGTTTCTGGACGTCCATACTCACTTCACCACCCTCATGACAGTATGCTGTAGAAATATAGAATAAGAGTCTTCAACCCATATTAAACCTGAGATTGCTGTGTATTGTGTGGTGTCCCCTGAGTACTGGTGGAAGAAAAGGCTGAAGTTTAAATTAAAGTGTGCAATGTTTTTAATCTTTTTGTAACTTTTGACAGTTTTCACTCGAAGTTTATACCGTATCGGGAGTTGTCTTCCAAGTATTTAACACTAAACACTAAAATATATGTAAAATGTATGCTTAACAAGTTATCACCTACAGTGCCATCAGTTTTTTTATCCAAAGATGTTGAAGTTTCCAATACGAAAAATAGCAGCCTATTTCCACATGATTTTGAATATCTCTATTTAATACCTAATAAGTTATCATGCTAACATCGCAGAAATATGGTTAATGGTTTACACTGAAGAAGAGTCTTGTACCATTAAATATATAAATTACTGAATTTATTCATCTCCCTGAAAATATGAGACATTAAATACACAATTATTTTTTTTACATTTCCTGATTGCCACACTTCTTGTCCCCAAGTGTACCAAATCTCAGGTTGATAAAAAGCATTCTCCTCTAACCAAAACTTTTCTTTGCAATGGTTTTTTGCTAAAGCTAGGAAATAATAGAAAAAAACATTCTTGAAATCACTAATAACTCGTGTTTGTATTCTACAGGCGCTCTGTTTATGAATGAAACTTCCAAGGCAGTGAACAAACCAGCCGATCAGACATGCCGTCGTTGCAAAGCCTAATATGAGCTCTGTTGGATGAAAAGCTTGTCAGTCAAGTCCAGTTGTCCAGGCCAGGTCAAGGATGCAGCAAGTAATCTGTGTGCATTCTGATTGGCTATTGTTACACAGCTGCCATTTTGGGGGGGTGCATGTCGGAAAACTAGATTTTATTACTCGAAAATGATTTACTGCAGTAGAAAGATAAACAAAGAATAATTTTTTGGACACATGAAATATACATAATTCTAACATAGCTATAAACAGACTACATGAACACACTAAAAGCCTTAACAGTTAAGAAGTGGTTGACATGAAGGTATCAGCAGAGTAAAAGTGAGACTTAGATAACACCTGTTTGAGTATAATTGACTGTTACTAGCCAGCTGACAACTGATCCGCTGGTGTATCACTGAACCACAGATGCTGAAACAAGAATGAAACAACTGTCAGCTGATGCAAGCTTGACTTAAGAGTTCTGCTTGAACTAACGTAGTGTTTAATTGATGAAATTGCACTGATCACACACATAAAGACAACTTTTACACACTCTTGAATCCAGACATTCCTTATAAGATTAGAAAATAATGGTCCACCACACACCACACAGTATTTGATAGGATCAACTTGTAAGCGACCGTATCACAGCTGTTGACAATTCAAGATGTCTGCTCTCCTACTCCTTTCATTTGAAATGAGACTCATGCGGGATGTTGTCATGCTACCTAATTTAGCAAATCACTACTGTGAAACTAGCAAGCAGTTAGGCTACTAACAATTTAGCACATAATCTCGATAATGGAATTACAAATAGCCATTTAATCTGATAAATCACTGTTTGAAACAGTTTCAGATTCTAATTAACTAATTCTGGCATAGTTAGAGAAGGTTCTTGTTGATATGAGGTCTCTCTACCATAACAGTGTGGAAAACTGGCGTAGTTGTTTATGACAGTTCCAAAAGAGCCCTCAATGGATTTAACCTGTTTTCATCCAATATGCTTAAAAATATGACAAAACAAAAAGTCTCTTCTCTGTTTATAATGATTAGGGGCATAGAAGTAAAAGTCTGTTTCCTGCTGATTTTAAACATTAGTTACACTTGAACACCAACAGTGACACAGTGTATTACTTTAGTCTAACATGCTGTGTCCCCATGTTCTTTTTCTGTATTTTAAATAAAGGAATGCAAGCCAAAGCAGTGGAGACAAACCATAGAAAGGAGGAGGGATATTCTGTCCATCAAGGAAGTACGGGAAGATGACATTGGGAATTACACCTGCGAATTACAGTTTGGGAACTTTGTGGTACGGAGGACTACTGAGCTGTCCGTCACAGGTAAAGAAAAATTCTACTTTTCTTCAATGCTGCAAATTCTTTGATTGCAGAATCATGGCTGCTCCCTTTTGTTGAAATGTTGAAACACTGGCATTTACTCAAAGCTGTACAGAGAGCTTGAACTGCTGCAGTGCTTGCGACAGCAAAAAGGAATGTCAGTAACTGTACACTGAAAGCCTCAATATACATTTATATTTAATGCATTTAAAACAAAAAGTGTTTCCACAAAAGACTATCCTCATTGGATTATCACTGAACATGCCTTTGTGCACGGTGGCTGGTGATTGTTTTCTACACATTGCGTTTCTTCCGCTGTGAGTTGGCAAACAAAATGTGGGTGTTTGCTGTTGTTTAAAAATTAAGCTTTTTAAAGCTGATCCCTGCACCTTTTGGCAAAGTGTTGCAGTCAATGGCGTCGCTGTCTCTGTGACTTCTGGACTGCTTTAATTGCTAAGTAGTGGAATTCACACAGAGCCACTTCAGCACTTTTTCTTAAGGCTGTTGAAATATTTAAGCCTGAACCTAAAGTGGGTGACAGATTGCTTGCCACTGAAACTGTCACTGCCAAGGTTCACACACACAACTGTGGATAGGGAAAACCCAAAATGTAAAACTTAATTATACACTTCTGTTTGTTTTTGTAGTTTATCTGATTATAATTAATTCTAGTTGGTATAACGACTGATGTCCAAAAGCTTCTTGTGATCAATAAACAGCAACACAGAGCTAATATTGACTTAATTTTTTTTTTAAATAGCATTAGTTATAGTCTCTACAAGGAACTTTTGTGTTGATTCTTGCAGCCCCTGTGGACAAAAGCGGTAGTGTTTTCATTGATTTCAAGGGGAATCCAACTGAATCTGAGCTGGTGGCAGCCATAAAGAATGACTATATAGAAATAACCAATCTTCTTGCTGATGGTCTTGTTTATGTGGGTCACATTAAACATTTTAAAACTCCTTGTAGAATGTTTAAACTATTTTATTTATTATGCTGTTGTGTTAGAGTTTCCTATACCAAGCTTTGAACATAGTGAATCATCAGAGAAATAATAATAGCACCAGGGCCCATTTAAAATGACCCTATAATAAGGATCTGCTCCATTATCAAATGTTCATTTAAAAGTAGAGCTCACGTTCTTTAAAGTGAAAATGTTAGTGTGCTTCGGAGGATTTCACACGACAACAGCTCCTCCTCTCTGTGACTCATTTGGCTGGGCTCACATTTTCCGCGGTGGCTCACGTCTGTGAGAATAGAAACAAATGCAGGATGACGCAGACTGAAACAAAACAGAGAAGTGAAGAGGTTTTGGATGGATAGAGGAGTTGTTACGTTTCAGTGCAGCTGCCATCCTTCACTGTGGGTGTGAGGGTCAGACAAAGTGTTTACTGTTAACTGCTACCTGATTACACTTTATAGTCCCTTTAAAGACACAAAGACAGACTCCAGTGAAGGCCGAGCAAAGTCATAAATCATTTTCTCGCCAGCCTCAAAATGTCATCCTGGGGGAATAGTCCTAATCTCTCCATCTACTTTGAGGACATTCAGCATTTCAAAACATGTGGCAAAAGATGATTGATGATTGGCAATGGCAGTAGAAGGGACATTTATGATTTTTTTAGAAAGAAATATACTCTCCCACCTGTGTCTGTGTGGGTTTTCTCCCACATCCAGCCTGCCTGTAGATGTGAATGCGTCTCTTTTTTTAGCCTTTTAATAGACTGGCAACCTGTCCACCAGTCTGTCTCTCGCCTAATGCATGCTGGGATAGGCTCTAGCCCTCTCAACCCCTAAGCAGTACAAAAAAAGGATGGAGTGATATTAAAGTCAGTCTTTGTGAAAGAAAAGGAAGTGATTTCTTTTATTTTGGCAGAATTCCACTCTGGTAATTTACTTTAAATTTTGTAGAGAAAATGGAACTTGAAAATAATGCAATAAAGTAGTAGGAGGTTGAATAGTGGTGCAATAGTATATTGATATACTTATATGTAGATTTTAGGATGCAGAGATGCAAATAAATAGTTTCACACACAAGATGCAATTTTGTCTCGAGGTAACAAAGTGTAATGAAAGTTTTCATTGTTCTTTCTGAACTTGGAGGGCTTTTTATCTTTGGAGAGCAATACCAGTGTTCACTCTGATTTTGGCTTGGTTTCTTTCCTTTTAGGCAGAATTGCTTCCCTATGAGTTTTGGATTTATTTATTTATTTTCTGCCTTCGATTGAAGAAGTTTTGAGTTTTTGTATGTGGTGTTTTCTTTTGTGCAGCCACGGTGGCTGTACTGATCATGCTAACTACCCAGTTCTTTTGATCTACCTTCTATTTTTGTCTGCTGCTGCTGCTGCTGCCGCAGTACACATGAAACACATCACGTCCTGTAAGGGCGGAGATTTTTTCCTCTGGAAAAAAACTGTGTACGGTGTTTAGACAAGCAAATGCGCAAGCTTAATGACCTGGGTTGAATCGCTCTTTTGTTCTCACCACCTTGACGTCGCCGTTATCAACAATTAATGATGACCCTGTCAAAATGTATGACACTAGCTTTCATAGATCCACTGATTTCATATTGACTAAGCTTCCTCCGCCAGTTGTAATCAGTGGGTGATATGAGGGGGGGATACCATCCCCCTTTTTAACCTGCCGTCACCCCTCTTTATCCCTAGAGAGTGCACTGTGGTTGAGGGGTTGTTTAGTTAAATAGGTTCGGCTTATTGATCCTTTATCTGACTGAGGTTTGTGCAAGTTAGAATCTATGGCTGCAACCGTGGCTTTGAAACCTCAGTAGCCTAACTGTGCTGTCTGTACTGTGTATTGATAAATCCATGGCGCTGTCCATGGTGCTGAAGTTGCAGATGGATTTGTAATTGTGCCTTTTTCTCTCAGGCACACCCCTCAGTCAGTTTCTTGGATCTACAATATACTCTAAACTATATACTATAAAAATACAGAATTCTATACTATGTTATGTATACTCTAGAGTAGTGTCACCTTTGTGATCTAAGTGACAAGCAGCAACATCACGGAAGAGCAAGAGGATCATAGAGACTCACTGCTGCCTCTAGTATTCCTACAACATTTCTGTAATATTTCTATGGTCATTCAGTAGCATCCGTGTTGCTGAAAATACAGACCTATGGGGTTCACCCTAACCCGAGCTCTATCCCTCCCTTTGGGCCTTTCCCACTGTTAAAAATTAACAAATCACCAACTGTTTGTAATACTCATTACTTGTGTGTGCAAAACACTCAACTTTGTCTAATTTTCACAATTAATCATGATAACAAGCATTCTAGGGTTCAATTGTTGAGGAAATTGTCAGCCATTTATCCCCATTATATACCCATCTAGGTCAATGAGAAGTATGCAGTTGGAACCAACTAAGACAAAAAAGCATTTTCAAAAGTGAGCCATTAAAAACAGTAGAGTATAGTACGTATTGTAATTATTAGTAATTTCTTTAGGTACCTAACAACCCCTAACCAGAGGCTTCAGGGTTTGTTGTTGCATTTTAACTGTGTTTTGCAAATTTGCAAATTTTGGATATATTTCATTGAAAATGCAAACTGTGGGAGGCGAGTACAGTAAGCAATTGCGGGGCACATAACAATGTTATTGTTATATTGTTATCAATTTTATTTTATACATTTGATTAATAGTTTATATGTAACATATTCTTTATTTTTCTCTTATCTTGGGTAATCTATCAAATATTTCCCTTTACTGTGTGGCTTTGTGTATTGTATCCCCATTTTTGCTGAACACTGAGAAAAAGAATAAGACGGATAAGGTCCTGGACATCTTTGATTGTTCAGCAAGCATTCCCTGTTGAAGTATTGGTTGTCCTAGTCGATACAGAGACAGTGGTAAAAATGCTGTTTATTAAATTGTGTTTGTTATAGTCATTCTTGTGATGTGATGGCACATCTGATCGATCACGATCTGCAACACTGACGATAACCCCTGACAGTACCTGGAACTTGCATCACCTCCTGAGCAGTGCAAAACTTTAGTTCCAGGAACTTGTCCCCAGAGAAGGTGGAGAAGAAACAATGGAAACAGATCTGAATCTGAAAAGGGCCACACATATTGTTACAGTACATTGTCATCATTCCTGCAGTGGAAAGGGCTTTAAGTATTCCAAATAGAGATCTGTGCTTCAGACCTGACCTTTCCATCTGCATACTATTCTTTTTCTTATCTGGAATAAGTATACATGAACCTTTATGTAATATTATCATCAACCTCCCACAGATAATTCCAGTCCACCATCAAAACTCTTGTCACTCCCCCCTCTATCAACAGCCTACAGGCCCTCTCACAGCAGTGCAATGGGACAAAAGGTCAGATTCCATTTGATTATAATGAGCACCGCTAAAATCATAATGAGCTCCCTTGCTGGGTAATTGGAAGCGACATTCGTTTTTAAATGAAATTTGGGGTTTTATGACTTCTTTGTAAGGTTGTGCCGTTTGATGTCTTAGATTAAACACTGCAGAATAAAGGAGCAGTGATGAAATAGATATACAGGGGAGCAGCAACTTTGCTGTGTAAAATAGACTGTCAGTGTAGCAAATGAGCTGGGACTGATGCTATTAACCTGCTTTTCTTATTTTGAACCAGCACGCAATGAGGTGTGCTTGGCTGGGGGAAGGGAAGGGCTTCCAGCATGAGTATGTAAATAGCCAAAAAAGCCTGAGAGGGGTGCAAACAATCATGAAAATATCTCTCCTGATGCATTCACTTGACATTTTCATGTCTTTAAGCCTGATCTACTGTAAGATAGTTTTGTGGCTTAAAGTGATTCTCATTGCGATGCTCTTTTCAACGGTCTTTCAGTCTAGCACATTCAAAATCAATCTCTCTAGTGAACAATGGTTTCTTGCTGGATAACACCATTCTATTTCAGTGTCTTGCTTACCACTGAATATTATTGCACAGCGACTTGACTGGTTGGAAATGAAAAGAAACAATTTTGCTTCCTCAGCTCAGCCACCGCTCTT